ATTTGCTTTCGCTAAAGAGGTGCGTATCATTCCAGTTTACTGAATTATTTGTATTTGTATGTTAATATATTTATTTTAGATTTTTTTTAATGACGGACATATAATGATTATTTGTACTACTCAAGTTCAAATACAAAAATGGACCAAATGTAATTATTTTGAAATCGATCTATCATTTAAGAGTTGCTGGCAAAATCAATGAATTTGAAATTAATTACTATGATAAAAAATATAATACAAGTATTTTTTTATTATATATATTATAGTATTATTATATATATATATGTATATTAATTTTTTACAATATTAACTATAATTAATTTATATATTGGTATTAGTTTTAACTTTTGCATGAATTTTTACAAATCAAGCAATTACTATTGTATATCAACGCATGTTTAATGCATTGTTCGATCTTGTCAAACAATTTACTAGTGAATCCACAAAATTTAATTATATTCATAGAAAAGGTTGGAGTTGTATCATCAGTGATCTTGATATAGCACAACTTACTGGATTAGGTGAAGCTTTAGCTTTAATTGATAATTCTTTTATGTGGGAGGATCATTTAATTCATATTTTCAAATCTTGTCAAGTGCATTATAAATGGTAAGTAATAATTAAAATTAATATTTATTAAATATACATATATAAATAATTTATTTTATATAGAAAATTGCATGAAAAATGATTTGAAGATAATACTAAAGCTAAAATAGAATTATTATTAACCACGATGGCTGAAGAAGTAGAATTAATCTTTAATGAATTATTAATCTTGAATAATAATCTTACGGGTAAGTTTTATTAAATTATAATTAATATACAGTATTAATTTAAATAATTTAAATTAAAAAAATTTATTGTTATTAAATAAAATAGATTGGATTCAATATTATAGAAAACCTTATATTATCGCATCACTAAATCCAAATATTTCAAAAATTTTACATAATATGTGGTATGCAGCACCAAACAATACAAATTGTGCTAAAGCAGCACATGCTATAAGCAATCGTGAAGAAAAACAACTCAAACTAATGATAGCGATAATAAGGTTCATTTATAGTACTGTATATAAATATATTTTTTATTACTTATTATTAAATTTTTTTTAAAGATCAAAAATTAGATATGTGCAACTATAAAAGGATTGATATAAAAGCCAATTACAATGTCAATATAAGTGGCCAGGATAAAGGTGGCATTGCAAGAAAAAAATTGGCAATTAAACATAGTAGTAAGTATTTTTTATTTAATTTAAATTTTATTTTTTTAATATATATTTTAT